CCGACGAGCGCCGCACAAAAGCGACTCTACCACTCGAATGATTACCCAGGCGATTTTATCGAATATTCATCGGCGCACTCTTCCGCGTATTTCCATTAGCGACAGTCGTGTGATTAGAAATTTCAACGCTGGACTCTTATACTTGCGCAAGAGTCGCGCGTTTTGCACCTTGCGCGTTCCTCTTCAACCTGAGACTTCGGCAGAGAAAAACGTCACTGGCCGGCCCATCGCTTATCGGCTGGCGTGGCATCGCTCGTGGCATTTCTCACTTTCTCCGAATATAAATGAGACGTTCAAAGGATGCTTCGCGAGAGTGATCGATTGTTTGTACTTCATTTACATGGGTCTTCGCGCGGCGTTAGGTAAACAGAATAGCGCGCGCGAGCGCGTGTGCAAGTCGAGGTGTTTGCAGTTGCAACATGCTCTAGTAATTGTCCCACTTATCGGCTCGATGACACGAATGCTCGCCATAAAGTAGCGCTCGCGCACGAATACGCGATGAAACGTGCATCAAAGTTTCGAAATTAACAATTTCGTCCTCTCCCACCGTGTTGCATTTTGCAGATAAGTTGATTAAAATCCAAAGAAGATGATTTAATCTCAATGTAACACAAATATGATCATCTGTCAATCACGTCGCCAGATTTCTCTTTTCCCTGTGAAATTTTCAGGTGAATGTTTATTTACGGTATACGCAGTAATATTTGTTATACCTTGTCGGCACCTTGTTCGCACTGAAAGAGAAAAATTCAACGTATACATGTGTGCGCGAGTATCTGAAAGGTTACAATTTCGATGAATGAAGTAGCTGAGCCATTATGTTGCATTTTAATTTCTTGAAGAACGAATTGATTAAAATCACAAGGAAATAATTTAATCTCAAAGTGACATTAATATGACGTCTGTCAGTTACGAGATTTCTCTTTTTCTCGCGAAACTTTTTGCCATGAAGACTTATTCACAGTAACGTCCGTTGTATTTCATCGGCAATGTTGGAGAACTGAAAAAAAAAAGTAAACAGAATGTATCTAAATGTATGCACATGTTTGCCGATGTCCTTGAAAAGGATAAATTTAAATAAACGAAATAGCTGAGCTGCTCGACTCGTGTTCTTCTCGTGTGGCTCCTGCGGAGCCTTCATTCGAGCGTCCCGTGCAAGAGGAAAAGTCGCAAGAAAAGGATGATTATTCACGTCGACGGTGAGCGGTTCGCAAATAAATCCCGTCACAGATTCCGTCAAAGGCGATCCGCCACCCCGGCAGGGATGTTTGCGCCGAGAGAGCCGGGTCACGTTGCAGTCTTTCTCACTAAATCGCACCTGCTGCTTCTTGCGCTTCTTCGACGAGGCGATCACCTCACAAGAATGCTGCCCGAATCCCTTTACATAATTGCACGACCCGCGTAATTTTCCGAGAGACGCCAAGCGAACTCGCACGCTGGCCTCAATAAAACCAGTATCATTATTATTGGACACTTCCTACACAATCCTCTCTTTTACATAATAGCGGCATTTTCTGCATGGATATCTCCTGGATCACTTTCGATGGACGCGTGCCCGTCTCGCGATGTGAGCTTACGCTGAGTCACTTGCGAGCGAGAGAATTTCAAGTCGCGAGAGAAACACTCGGAACCATTTCTGTGCATTGAGAGAAATTTTTAGACAGCTTTTCTCATATACATTTTTTTAACATATTTTCTAGTACAGTGCAGGAATGAAATATCAATAGGTTTCACTTGCCAAGTAACACATTTAATTTTGTAACACATTTTATAATTTAGGGATTTCACTATTCCTAGTATGTGAACAACGCAGGTACCCATAAGTAATCAAATATTTACAAGACTTTTATTGTTATTTTATGACCTTCTGAGCTACTTAAACTGCGTAGTATATAAATATTTTTTAATGTGCTGTTTGAATAAAATATTCTTAACTAATTATATCATTGATTAAAGAATAGGAGCTATTTCGAAAGAATTTTAAATGTACTCCATTTCGAAGTGTTTGATTACTTATGCACGAAAAAGAATAATTTTAAATAAAACCATTGGTTGCTATCGTATATTCGTTGTGACAGCGATAAAATTTAATTTTGCGTAACCAAATTAGCGAATTATCTGCAATTAGAGCAGAAACAATTTTGTCACCAGGATAGAAAATATCTCGCTGAGTGAATTTGTCTCTGGGACGCGTTAATTTACTGTTGAAACGAAATGATGTTTTCCTATATTTACTAATATTGTGTCTTTCTATACTTACTATTTGTTCTTACAGCATAATAATTTGTAGATTCAACAAGATTATTCAACGAACGGTAATTAGTACTTTTAACAAACCGGTTTGCCGTCCACACAGCAACTGATAAATTTTGCCGCGATGGCATAAAATTTGCTACGCCAGCAAATTCTTTATCTCCAAGCGGGTATCTCCAATATGAAACTGAAGGACGATAAAGGCGACATGAATGTCGACATGTTCTTCAGTTACAAAATCCCACTGTAATTTTTCACTATGAAATCCTCGCCGTGCAGGAATCACGGATCCGTTTCATAAGATCGTTTCGAGCACGACGCGTGAGATTCAATTTGAGCGAGAAGAGCGACGATTCATAAATATTAGGTGACTTTATGTGACGCGCGACCGGTTCGCTTGAGATACGAAGCGCCGTAAAAGCGGGCTCCCCGCGGGAGTGCTTTGAATTCCTCGGCTAATAAATTGTCGTGAACGCGCGATAATCTATCCGTGAACGTGGGCAGCGCCATTGACTCGATAAAACGGCGTGACCGTAGAATGCCTGCAATTATTATGTCGCCGCGAGCGAACTCTTCTTGTCGTTTTTCTCGCACAATGGGGGTCCTCGCAATGACACGCCGGGGGAGGAACCCGTCCAAAGCAAATAGCAGGCACCTATCCATCCGCAAAGGCCAGAGGTGGGATGAGATAGGCGGGTTAGTGACGAGTTGATGGACGTAATCGATTGACTCGGATGATACACGGCGGGATACGCATCTAAGCAGAAGTGCAGAAATTACCCGATACAATGACGCTCGTCGCGCGCTAATCTCTTGCTTTAGCAACGTAATAAGCTTCCTCGCGCAATTGCGCAAGTCGGCAAGTCGCAGCCGCGCATTCGAGCCACTCTCGCCTCCGAACTCAAATCGACCATTGTGCTCGTCGGTTTCGCGCGTCGGCTATCATTTACCGAATTGAGATTTTTCGCGCCCTCGCGTTTTTCGCCATTGTTCCCATCACCATTTCGCGCAATTACACGTTTGTCCGTCGCGTCGCATTGTTACGCACTGCCCCGAGCGGTCGGCAGATACGTACCTGCGTTTCTTGCACTTATGCAGTTTTGCAACGGTTTTACGACGCGCACGGTACGTCCGAGCCGTAAATATGATAATGTACACTGCATTGCGATCATACGTTGCGGCGTTAACTAACACCACGCGTTCCCGTAACTATGTGCCAATTAAAAGGACGCTGCGCAATTGACGTGAAAGTCAATGTTAAACTCGAGCCCGCCCGGTAGCTTTATTCGCGCGAAGCTCCTCATTAGGAGATGCAACCCTAGAGACGCCTATTTAGATAATTAACTTTAATTTCATATGCCGCGCACCACATACTTATTTCGATCGATATAAAAAAAGAAAACAAAATCTACCTCTCGACGAAAACGTCTCGAAACGGCCGAAATTTTCCACTTAGGGATTTTATTTTATTTAAATTGCGACGTATATATAATATTAGAAAAAAAAAAACTTTCGAAGTTGCCGAGAAAACATCGCGAAGAAAATGGTGCTCGTTGAAATTTGGATTGGAAGAAAAATCGAGCACGAATTAAATGATCCGTTCACGCGGACGTGGATTTCGGGACGCGCGATTTTCCGCCTGAGTCCGCCGATCTGTATCGCCGTCTCTCGCGAATCGGCTCTCCGGCACACTTATACAGCAGAAACCTTTCGCACACACCAACAGGATACGCCAGCTGAGGCCTATCTTCTCCTCGTGGCGCTGCCATCCTTCTATATAAATTATACGGCTAAAGGTCACCGGACGTTTTCTGCGAGACTGAAGCATCACTCGTCGCGCAAAGACGATGCCGCCGTGAACGTTTACGATGGCGATTTAATTCGCCAGCCAGAAGCCTCGGATGACTTTCAGGCCCCTCTGAACATACCTTCACGCTAACGAGATCGCGATGCACCTGCGAGCAAGGTGCAAGCGTATTCTCGATAGACGATGCGGCCTTCGATCTTTCAGTTACTCGTGCGGTTTCCGATCATGAACGATGAAAATTAATCACGAAAATATTCGATAACAACAGACGACGATGTATGTTAAATCTGAATATTAAAGATAGGTATCGTCGGATAAATCAAGCAGTAAAAATCACAAAATTGTATAACAAATAAAGTAGCAGTTGGCGACGATCGTTTTGTCGCTTGAAATAAAGGACGCGTTGATGAGCGAGACTTCTTGTGCTCGCTCATTCATCCTCCGTCAAAAAAGGAGGCACCGTTATAGTAATTGGTAGTGATCGTGCCGTAGAACGTCGGTTAATCAATGAAAAGACGATATACTATAATCCATGCTCGCGAACCTATCACGATCATCGGCGCATTATACAGCGCGCCTCGTGGCCGAGACGCGTTATGTAAGAGCACCGTGGGTGAAGCGTGAGATTATCCCACGGATGCGATCTTCGGTCTACTACGATTGCGTACGTGAATGGCTTGGCTTAATTGTTGCGGAAAAAAAATTCCAGAGAAAAAATTACCTGGATAGAAATTTCAATTCCTCAATAACTCAGCGAGTTAATACGATTGAGCGATTAGAATTGTGTGAAAAGTATTCACAACGATATTCGTTACGTTAAACGCTGACGCACGCGTCTTCGTTTAATGTAATGCATACACTGTACAATGAAAGTGTACGATGGTGCAAGATTATAACAATTTAATATTACCCAGAATTGATGAATTTGTCATTGTTGCAGTGGAAGCTGCTGTGGGCGGCCTTTCTGGCGGCCGTGCTGTCCACGTGCCATGCGGACGCGAGTCGCGAAAGAAGTAAACGTGCCATAGAGAACAACCCTCAGTTCCAGGGTTACGTCTATGAGCCCCCATCGAAACCGTTTACTTTACCCCCTTCGTAAGTATGATCGAATGTTTTAAAAATATTTCAGAACCATTTTTTCAAGAGTACGAATGATCCGACTGAAATTGTTCGAAGAAATTGTTATCGGTAAACAAATATTTATCGTTCGATTTGTATAATAATCCAGCATAATTCGAACGTGTTCATAAGACATGATTACATTCACAGGGGGTCACGGACGAGTTTAGCAACAGTCAGGCCACCCACGGTGACCACTGGATATATTTATACAAGTCCGAAAATTCCGTTTATTACGCCTACTACTAGAAGAACGCCACCGACTGATGGATATACAACCCCTAGAACTCCGTTTATAACGACTACTACTAGGAGAACTACTCCTTATACAACCCCTAGAACTCCGTTTATAACGACTACTACTACCAGGAGAACTACTCCTTATACAACCCCTAGAACTCCGTTTATAACGACTACTACTACCAGGAGAACGACACCACCGGTGACGAATGGATATACTTATACAACACCTAGAACTCCGTTTATAACGACTACTACTACCAGGAGAACTACTCCTTATACAACCCCTAGAACTCCGTTTATAACAACTACTACTACCAGGAGAACGACACCACCGGTGACGAATGGATATACTTATACAACACCTAGAACTCCGTTTATAACGCCTACTACTACTAGGAGAACTACTACTTATACAACCCCTAGAACTCCTTTTATAACGCCTAGTACTACTAGGAGAACTACTACTTATACAACCCCTAGAACTCCGTTTATAACGCTTAGTACTACCAGAAGAACGACACCACCGGTGACGAATGGATATACTTATACAACCCCTATAACTCCGTTTATAACGCCTACTACTACTAGGAAAACTACTACTTATACAACCCCTAGAACTCCGTTTATAACGCCTAGTACTACTAGGAGAACTACTACTTATACAACCCCTAGAACTCCGTTTATAACGACTACTACTACCAGAAGAACGACACCACCGGTGACGAATGGATATACTTATACAACCCCTAGAATATCTACCGTAACGAACGGTTACACAACCTCAAGGACTACATTTACACTGCCAACCACACGAACCACGTTTACACGAACCACACCAAAGGAAGGATATGTTTACTATACTCCGGACCAATCGTTTACATTGCCAACAAGAGTACCACCGCCGCCGCCGAAAACAGGACCGCCTTATATTCCTCCGCCACCACAGCCTCCTAGAACTCCACCTCCACCTCAGCGCCCCACACGTCCACCTTATGTGCCGCCACCTCAACCTCCCCCAACTAGACCTCCTTATGTTCCTCCAACTAGACCTCCGTATGTACCTCCACCCTCTCAACCTCCAACTAGACCCCCATATGTACCACCACCTTCTCAACCTCCTCCAACTAGACCTCCTTATGTTCCTCCACCCCCTCCAACTAGGCCTCCTTATGTTCCTCCACCCCCTCCAACTAGACCTCCTTACGTACCTCCACCCTCANCCCACCCTCGCAACCGCCAACTAGACCTCCATATGTACCTCCACCCTCTCAACCTCCAACTAGACCCCCATATGTACCACCACCTTCTCAACCTCCTCCAACTAGACCTCCTTATGTTCCTCCACCCCCTCCAACTAGGCCTCCTTATGTTCCTCCACCCCCTCCAACTAGACCTCCTTACGTACCTCCACCCTCACAACCGCCAACTAGACCTCCATATGTGCCTCCACCCTCTCAACCTCCAACTAGACCCCCATATATACCACCACCTTCTCAACCTCCTCCAACTAGACCTCCTTATATCCCTCCACCCTTTCAACCCCCAACTGGACCACCGTATATTCCTCCGCGGACATCTGCGCCAACTTATCTGCCGCCAGAATTTCCTACACGATCATCTGTCACAACGCGATTCACTACGAAATATACACCGCCCGTGACTCCACCAACCATCAGGTATACGACCCAACCACAAACCTATCTTCCACCTACGAACACTACACAACGCACCACGTATACGACACCACCTACCAGGTACTCGACACCACCTACCAGGTACTCGACACCACCTACCAGGTACTCAACACCACCTACCACGTACTCGACACCACCTACCAGGTACTCAACACCACCTACCACGTACTCGACACCACCTACCAGGTACTCGACACCACCTACCAGGTACTCGACACCAACCAGCACGTACTCGACACCGACTACCAGGCCACCGTTCTCCACCACCCCGGGCACTTATCTACCGCCAAAAAGCACCACCCCGGGAACCTATCTACCGCCAAAAAGCACCACCCCGGGAACCTATCTACCGCCAACCACCACCACGACCCCTCGACCATCCACTTCCAAATCAACCACCCCGACCACGACCCATAGTCGTCCTCCACCTTATCTACCGCCGTCGACCCCGAGGCCGAGCTACCCCACGATAAAGCCGCCACCGCCGCCGACACCCACTTACTCGATCACACCCAGCACACCCACTCCGCCGTCGCCTACAGGAAGTCGAGCGCCACCCCCGACCCTGCCGCCCACGACGCCGAAACCAACTCAAGGTTATTATTACCCGATCCCCGAAATTCCCTTCGATTTCCGCAAACGATGAGCGTTCTCGGTGACGCGGCTGACTCGACGCGTCTTACCGATCAGCGACATCGTGAATCTTAAATATTAGTACGCGTAACATTAACATTAGTGAGGATTATTATTTAAGGGCCGAGACGGCGAGTCGCTCGCCGGACGCTTAGAGTATCGCCTTTTTTGTATGTAACATCGACCGATTTGTCGCCACACGTCACGAGGATTCTCAACGACATGAGAGTTCCTTTGCACGTGTATAACGAGCGCGGGGAAAGGAATAAAAGTTTTGAGAAAAGACACCACCTGTGTACCTGCACCTTCTTCTCAGAAAATAAAGAATCGCGGGATCGCGTCTTCCGCATGTTTGTTGGCATTTCTTCATAATTCCAATCGTGATCGCGGTAATAACGGGATTCTACGCTCTTCTAAGACATATGATATCTCAATAAATCGACTAACCGAGACGAACCTACGAGGGACAATACTAATTTCCTCTCGTGGTTCACGTTGCACTACAGTCAATATCTCTACAATCAGTTTCTACAGGACTCGACTCGGCGTTATTATCTCCAGCACCTGATTTCAAACGTCCGACTCTGCTTTCGCATCGTCTCGCATACGTGTGCAGGCGTTCGCGCGACAAGAAGCTCGCTTTTACACGAGTCGACAAAAATGGAGCGTTAGCTCGCGTATTTAGCGGACCAGCCACCGAAACGGCGGTGTAGCGAGGCTGAGAAGATTTTCCTCGCGTGAGCGCGAGCTGACGGTGGCGGCCGGCTTTGCCGTCGAAGTAAGTAGCCCATAACTGTCCGCCTTCCACACCGCTGTAACGAGCCTCCCCCACGAACAAAGGAAATCTCCTCGCGCTCTTGATAGAATCTTCCCCAGCCGTGGTGAAAATAGCGAGCCGAGAAATGCGCGATCGTTAGTCGCGTGGGAAGCGCCGATAGAGCAACGTCGCGTGCTTCGCATCGAGAAACCGGAAGAGAGAAAGAGAGGAAGAGACAAAAAAAAACCTATCTCGTCGAGAGTTCGAACTTAATCTCGCCCTTTCGTTTTCTAAAACACTCGTCGTCGCCGGCAAGCTCCGTCAATTACTCGCGATTCGTATCGAACGGTTCGGTAATGGCCAAGTGAAACGAGTCGACGAGCATGTCAACGGTAAGCTACTTTAAGTAAGCATATCCAATATCGTCAATGTGTAATCGTAAAGGACACCAGCCGCCAGACCTCGAGGAAGGCGATGCTTGAGACCAGCAGGAGGTCCGCCATAAGTACGTCGGAGCTAGGGCTCTATTCGGATCGCAGTGATCGATACAACAGGAATCGCTACGGCCTGATCGTGAGGAAGTTTACGATCGGCGTTATGGTGGTGGTAACGGTGATCCTGGTGAGTGATTGAGAGAATTGAGCAGTGAGAGAGAGCGAGTCCGTAGATTTAACCCATTTGCATCAGAAACGTGTGTGTACGTTCACTTCACGCCCGGCCATGTTGCGGACCCGCAAAAGGATTCTTCAAATCGCGATTTCTTACCGAAGACGAGTCCAGTCACGAAGTTCACGCGTTTTTTATTATTTATATTACATTTGACGTCGATCCAAAGACTAAAGGAGAAAAATCAATGATATGGGAATATTTTTTCAAGTCCCCTAATTATGCAAACGGGTTATTTAATTTCCGATTATCGGCCCGTCATATACAACATATATGCCTAAAAGACGATCTCAGAGATCTAGACGTCCAGACGTCTTATTGTGTCAAAGACATTTTTACGATGTCTTAGGACGTTTTAATGTTCTCTGGTTCTCTTTAATTTGTAGTCATCAGACTCTTACATATACTATTAATTAACTTCATTATGCCCGAACGAATCTGCGACCGCAGCGCGAATGATCGATGAAGTATTAAGAAGAAGACTCGAGGATTCGCTTTTAGAAGTTATTGATCTTTTCGAATGTTCTCGTAAGCTTTACACGTTTGCGCTTTTTATTCATCGTCATTCTCTGACTTACTTAACGGAGATTACATCGAAAATTCATGGCGCCATTACTCGAACTCGAGGATAACATTTACTCAGCACGATTTTCGAGCTAACACCGTGTTCTTCACAGACTTATTGCCGACGTTTCGTAAATATTTGTTATATGAAACTGTTTCGGGTCTCTCCTCGCCCTAAAGAAGTAAACTGAAATGTTCGCGATACGCCGGTAAAATAAATCCACAAAGGACACGGCACTAACTCGAAAACCAAACTGTATAATTTACTCAGCAGTTAATGATCCAGAAATTAATCATCGTAAGTCTCGCAATTTTCCAAGTAGCTTATTTCAATCACGTCTGGTTAAGCGTCTCTGCACGTGCTTCGCAGACCGACATCTCGTTCTTCGTGAGACCAGCGCACGGGCACAGGTGCTTCTCGGGTGCACCTGTCCTGACGGATCGATGATTCCGCGCGATGAAGGAGCATTGATAGCTTAGCGTTATAAATAATCGCCTCCTCGAAGAGTCGTTGAACTCACGGCCAAGATATAACATAAGATAACGAGTATTACGAGAACGCATCGCGATAGTGACGCATTATCGATCGCTCCGCGTTATTCAATGTTATTCGCCGAGCGACGTCGATCGCTCAGCTAAATGCGCGCTCGGTTGCGCGCGGACAATGACCTTGCACGACAAAACATTTTCTGCATGCTGATTCACGGAGCGATCCTCGCATCCTGCTTCGCACGATTTTGCCGTACGCGCAGCCTGAGAGGCATCACAATCGAACGGCGGCGCGAGATTTTCGCGAGTTTCTTCCACGCGCGAGGAACAATGGGCATAATTGCGGGCTCGCACGTTTTCTCCGATGATTAATGTCGGAGGTGGCCGGGAACCGCCTGTGCCCGCATATATACGTACGTATGCGCGTGTGTATACGCGTGTGTACGCGTGTGTTCGTATGTGCACGTCGGGAATCGCATTTTCACCGCGAATCTTCGAGGATCCCTTCTATGCATGGCGAGCCAAGCGTCAAAGATTTCTGCGTGCTTCACATATAGGGCGTTAACTGTGTTTCGGAACGGATTAGCTCGCGGCTGCCATCTCGAAACAGGGTTAATTGCTCGACTTTGTTGCCCGACAAGAACGTCGCGAGCGCGCGCCCGCGCGTGTGTTTATTAATCGTTGACAACCAGCGACTCGTTCTCTGTCTATTATATCGAACCGAAGATTCAGCACGGATCTTCGCGAAGTATCAGCGAAAAGTGCAATAGCGCAACTTTTGCTTCGTCGAATGAACTCTTTGAGTGTCAAGGAACGCGTTCTCCGGGTGATCCGAGACTGAGGCTCTTTTCGTTTCCCGCAGGTGGCGATATTCATGTACGACTTCGCGTCCGCCATGTCGGCGAACAGCAAAGTCAACCAAGAAACGAAGCACATATACATCCTGCAGAATGCCCTGAAGAAGTCGCCGAACCTCTCGAGGAAGTCGCTCAACTCCACGATTCTACCCGAGGCGATCGTTCTCAATCAGACGGACACCTTCCCCGCGGAGAGTCGCAGTTCGGACGAGGCGAGCTACGAAAGTCCGACGCAGCGAAACGGAAGCGTCGAGCCGGCGCCGGCCGAGTCCCGCATCATGAGATCGGGCGAACCCGAGTCCCGGGCGCAGAATTTGCACAACTTCAAACAACGGAAGAGGGTGCTGAAGTCCATTGTGGATGACGGCAAGGAGAACGAGAGGCCCGGGGCCAAGCAACTGCTCGACAACCACGCGATTGTTTATCGTGTGAGACAGAGGTACGTCTCGATCGTGATCGATACCGGCGATTTTCCCGCGGGCAATTTTTTCGATTCGCCATTTATCACGGCGAGCGAACGTTATGAGCCGAAAAGGAGCTCTTGATTTGAGTAACGAGCGGGAGATTTATGAAGATTCGGCGCGGCTGTGTTATGACCTTTGCGCGATGCAACCGTGGAAACGTCTCGGCACGCCTCGCGCAAATGTCGCGGTGTGGAATCATCGCCGATCTACACGCCGATAATTCCATCGTCATTAATAATCCGAAATCGCCGGCGAATATCATTGACATTCTTTCCGATTACGAGATATACTTTCTACATTGGGTAACGATGCGTCGTCGCGCGTGCTGAATCAATTTGTCAAACTGCACGTTGCAACGCTTACGTTTCATATCCTTTTATTCTCGTATTATAATTAAGGAGTATAAATGGACGTGTGTATGTGTGTGTGCGTGTGTGTGTGTGTGTGTGCGCCACGCGATGATGATTTTTGTTATTAGGAAAAAAATGATTCTGTGTGCCGCTTGGATATAATGTAACAATAATTATGATTATGTCCATGAAAGAGTGGATTTTTATTAGATAATAATATCTAATAAGATATAATATCTGGTAAAATATAAATATGTATCTAAATATTCTAAAAATCGAATGGTAAAGATTATCCGATATACATTTATATAAATTATCCCATTATGATACATCATAAAGAGAAATTATAGTACATCATAATATGATATATAATTATGTGTGTGCACAGAAAAAAGATTTCTTAGAATTTAGTATACGTCGTTTAACTTGGGTTTGTTTAATATAAACAGTATAATTTAATATCAAATATCATATTGTTTAAATGAAAATATTGTTGTTTTGCTAGATAAGATAACATTAGATGTGATAATATTAAAATAAAATTTATTATTTCGTCAGATACAAACATCCTGATTCGGATGAAGAGGACATCAGCGCGGAGGAGACCCGACCGACGCCGTTTCATTGGGAATTCAAGACGCCGCATCCGTCCTCCTTCAAACGACCGAGGTATCCGCAATTGTCGCAATACCGGTACCCGCAGTCATCGAGAAACATACAGGATATCATAAAATATCTGACGAATGATGCCGAGATGCCGAATCGCGGCATCAAGTTCACCGGCGTCTATATGAATCCGAAGAAGTATGATCTGTTTCCCGGTATAGGGGAGATGATGTCCGGCAGCGACAAATCTGAAGAGGACGAGACGCCCCCGTATTCGCCTACGTACAGTAACGATCCATTTTACCAGTACAAACCGAAACATCCGGCGGACGTCAATCTGTTGGCCACGTCTAACGTGAGGTTCGTAGTTGAATTTAACCCATCTGCGTCAGAGAAGTGGTTTTCTTTATTCATTTAGCAGTCATTATCATAAAACTAGATTGAATCACAAAAATCAAGCGTTTTATCCGTCTTATTTGACTTCAACCTAAAGAGAAAAATTAAATGATGCAGGCATATTTGTTAAATCTCATAATGATACAAATATTTAAATTCTGGAAAAAAATTATTTTTACACGAGTGAGTGTAAAAATAGAATAATTTCTTTTTCCAGAATTTAAACATCTGCATCATTATGAGTTTACACGAGTAAGTATGAATGAGTTTTATAACTGAGAATTTGCACTAGTGCTTATTAGCCCTTTTCTCCTTGTTAATTAAACATTAAAAACTCTTAAAATTGACTTTTCTGAAACATAAAAGAACATATATCGAGTTTACTGACAACCGAATAATCCCGTTTTAGATTCTCGCCGACCGGATTACATCGATATAGCCCTTACTACGATACTCTGTACTCTCGACCTTTGTACAACTACAACAAGCCGATCGTGACGGAGCCGCAGTACGAGAACGTGGGCGCGTACTCATCGAATACTTTGGGGAAGAGCCGGAAGCCGAAGCCGTTCAGCGTGATGCTCGATATTTATCCCATCACCGATATCATGGAGCAGAATAAGAAGACGGCGTGGCCGCGGCCACAAGGATCGACGGACGATTACGACCCTAGGAGACCTCTCCAGTTCACCCGGGGACCGAAATTCTATCCGTCACCTCAGCCATCACCCATCCCTCTCGTAGCCATGCCGAGTCCTACGACTTTGCCGGAGGAAGAGGAAAGGCAGCAAATGATATTCCATTTAAATCTGTATCCCCGGAAGAAGAACAAGCTTAATAGGTATATTAAAAAATAAGAAATATATTTATTCGATGACTAATAACATATTTACTTATAATATACTAATATATATTCTTTTATATAGAAAGGAAATTTGTTCAAATGAAAAAATATATATTTTCTTAAGATTGCAGCTTCTCATAAATAAAGCAATTGTGAATTATATTTAAATAAAGAATTTAGAGAGACTTAATTAAATATGTTATTAGTACCCAACGAATAAATATTTCTTATTTTTTACATATTTTTTCTCTCAGTGCAATTATTTAAAGATTTCAAATAGTTTAATCTTTTTCACTGCTCCTCGCTTGGTTCTTGAACAACACATATCAAAAACTAATGTATTTTCTCTGGTTTTATTTCCAGACATGACATCATCCACAGATCGGAAATGATGGGACTCGAAGAGCAGCAGCAATTCGCGAAGAAGATAATGTCACCGTTGGAATCGATCGCCAAACACCTGACCGATCATTCGACAATCGAGGAGTCCGATGACGAAAACCCGGAGACAACCCACTTGCCTTTAACACGGTATCACGAGATCAATCTGGACGAAAAGGATGACGGTCTCGAGTTAGATAAGGATTCAGAAAATTATCCAGATTCGGATCGCGCTGAGGAGAATGTCACCGTGCCTTTGAATCACAAAATAACCGACGAGGACTATGCCAGCACGGAAAAGTTCGACCTGCAGAAAACAACGGAGTCCACGACAAAGGACAGTGCAAATTGTGACAATGCGAAGTCGATCGACGGTCCGAAGAGCAACGCGAGCAAAAGCGTCGACTTTTCGAAGGATGTCGATACCGTCGAAGGATTTCAACGCTTCAGCGACGGTCTTCTGCGCTCCGACTGAGTGGACAGAATGATTCAGGCTAAAGGATGTTGAAATCATCCGATTATTTCTAAAGAGAGTAGTCGAATATTGTTGTTGTATATTGTTGGACGAAATATATTTTTATAATACTTCATTCTCGATGCAGTCTGAATTTCCTAACTTCGCGATCTCCATTAGAATCATCAAACGAACGATAGTAAGGCTCTGCAATTAGAATCGGAAGAATAAATATGTAAAGGTCAATAGGAGCCAATTGCGGATTTAGCTTTCTTGTATTTTGCAACATAATATGCTGTTGGGAAGGTCGATCTGAAGAGGAAGACGTCTCGCAATTTTCGAATATCGAACCTTGTGGTTTAAAGAACAACCGAAGGATGTTCCACGCGCGAGGAAGATGAAAAGTCATTGACACATGGTGAGATTCAGCGGCAAGGATGAATCCACAAGGTGATATGGAAATTTTTTTATTGGATTCGCCGGTAATAATAAACGAGTGAGGCATATTTACTAATTAGCAGGAAGCTTCGGTTCGTGTCCGTCACGTTGAACTTTTTCGGCGAAAAGAATGACGTCAACGTCTCTCCACGTGAATAATGAGAAATTTCAGTTCCGCGACTACAATCGACTTGCCCGATCCGGATTGCTTCTTCGCCTTGACATTTCCGTCGAAGACATTCAGAGAACTCTCGTATTCTCCATCATGAGCGATCGAAAGGCATTCGTTGATTTTTTGAAAGCTCTTTGTCGGTTGCTTCATAGGCCACTGTGTTGCCGGATATACCGTGTTTACGAGATGCTATTGTCGAGACAGTTATAAAATTTACACAGCAGTCGGAACGTTGGAATAACTGAAAAAAGAATTTTCATAGATATTCGAAGAAATTCGAAATCATCGAAAATATCCGAAGACGCGGGAAAAAGCATTTGGCAATTCTAATGATAATTATGCAAATCGCAGCTTCACTAGCGCATATACTTACCTGTACGATTCATAAAACAAATCTGTCCGATGTAATTTGTACCTCTGCAAGACACCTCCGAAAGAAAAACTAAGTTAAATTATATACGAACGCTCACGGATACGTATATTGTCGCCTATAAATACAATGAAATGTACAGTTTTTTTATTTCGTCTTAAATACGACATTATATTACAACACAGGAATCGCGCGCGGTTTATGTTCCTCCTTAATAATAACACAACAGGGAGAGGGAGAATCGTCTGTATAAAATATACAATCTCGCGAATAGCAGACCTGTAAGTTACTTACAAGAACATAGTCGGGCTTTACAAACCGTGTGTCGCTTTGTCGGCTATGCGGAAGTTCGTGAAACTTCACGGTGAATTCATTAGGATGATCCGAGACACGAGCTAAGCTACGGATCAACCGTGCCTTGTGCGCTGAATGGAAGATTGAAAGGGAGATCTTGTTTATGTCGAGCGATGACGCACGCGAGAACAATTATAGGTGTGCCGTCAGCGAAATCGGATTATCTAAACGTGTCTTACAAGGGAAGGTCTGGAAACCGTCTCTCACCGATTTCGACGAGCCTTGGGGGCTTCGCCAACTTCCGCATAGCGTACGTCCCAAAACGCCTCTATCTGCACGGCACTTTTTATATTACAATTAATTATAGCACCATCGATTCGCTTCTCGTTTGTCAACTGCAGCATCATAAATTACACTGTTAACAGTTCTCCCGTCGCAACATCTTCGTGTCAGAGAGCACTGGTTGTCTTCAAGACTCACTGGGATCCTGCGCACAATGTTCAAAAAGAGCTCTTTCAAGGCATCACTTATCAGAAAGTTTCTAATCGATTTTCTCTCCGCAGCAATTTCATCATTCTTGATAACCTAGTTTCAATCATTTCCGACGATTCTTTTCGAACGGAATTATCTCGGAAAGTAACGAACTAATTGAACCCTACGGAAAACTTCTCTATAGCAGAATCTACTTCGACTTGACGTTGAAGTCAATTTACATCGTGTGCCATTGAAAAGAGATTGATCGTTCGCTCGTTAGAGTTCTCTTTCCAATTGTTCGAGCAAATTTTCGCTAGAGGAGAATCGAGGTAGCTCGTAGGGACATCCACAGATCTCTCTGCACCTCTACGTTCTCGAGCCCAGCGTGCTTGGATGGTAAAGCGTCGTCTCGGCTCCCCATTCATACGGGCCCTCGTGAGGGCCCAGTGTGACCATTGTACCGGGGCCCAGAGTCGTGTGAGACCCGGCACTGACCATTGCCGGGCCGGAAGACACGTAACTGAGAGGCGGTCGCGGTTGATCGCGCAAACGTGCGTGTTTTACTTGCCGTTTATACCTGCAAAGAGAAACACACATCTTGCAACATTTACGTTCCGACCTCCTTTCTAAACGACATCTGTGCGGCCCGTGCTATGAAAAAGTGGGTCTCGAGCGCGCGAACGACCTTAACGCGCTTATTGTCCAGCACGTTCCAAACGACAGAGAGAACAAATAATTACGAACTATTGATAAAGTAACGAGATGGGAAGAAAAACATTTTAACTGTATCGCAAAATAAAGTCAAATATTGCGCGACTCTATATAGAACTGTAAATTAAATATTGAAAATTTGACAAATGAAAGGAATCAGGATATGTCATAATTCGAAAAGATGAAATTATTTTCTATCTTCATTTATCATGATGTCATAATTTATATCATTATATAATGATCTCATTTATGATTATATCAGTGTATCATTTCACTATGCATCATTATTTCGTTGATACAACTATAATAACATCTTTATATAGATACATCATTATATAGTTTATTTATCAAGATATATTTTATATTTTCAATGTTTTGCCGATTTGCTATCATTATACATAAATTGTCGAAACAACTTGACTAAAAATCTCTATGGGCGAGCGAAATTGATCACTTACTTTGCGTGCATGCAGCACAACGCGCAGCTGGAGACGACGGTGGCGATCCCGACGAGGACGGCGATCGCCAAGACCCACATCTGCGTCATGGAGGCGTCAGCACGCGCCACCAAAGCGGCGCAATGTTGCACTTTCTCCACGTGGTACGTGCTGTAGACCTTCTTCAGCTCCTCGTTCTTCGGGTCGGTCAACAGCGCTCTCATCTCGTCCAGGCCGTAGGACTCCTTGCCGACCATCTGGAAACACGAGCTGGTGGACGAGAAGTCCAAGGAGTTGTCCTCCTTGGAGTAGAACTGCGTGTCGTAGACGTTGACGCTGATGGGAAGTGAGAGCGCCTGCTGGACCGCCCTTTCGAAGTCCTCGAGCGTCTTCCTGACCTCGACCGGTGGCTTTGAGAAGACGAATTTCAGCATGTCACGGTCACGTAGCAGAAAGATCCTGATGGTGATGTTCGTCTCCCGTCCCGGCGTCGCCGAGTTGTTCGCCGACACGAGCATCTCCATGAAGCCGTCCGCGTAACCAGCCATCGACCCGGTCGTCCTGAGCTCGCCGGTGCGAGGGTTCAAGGACAACTGCGACGGGATCTCTTTCTGCGACATGGACGAGTCTACCAGGGACGTGAAGGAGACCTTGCTCATGTTGTAGTTGATGGGCAACGCGCTGGAGTCGATGTCGTCGGCTTCCAGAGTAATCAAGCTGGTGTCGATAGGCACGTTCAGGCGCACTCCCAAGGTCACGTTGTCCTTCTTGAAGCGTGGCTTGTTGTCGTCGATGTCCAGCACCCTGACGAGGACCTGCCTCTCCGAGGGATCCTGCCTGTTGTACGGCTTCGGCACTATGTCTGATCGCCTCGAGGTGTACTTGAAGCATTTGACAGTCAGCAGGTGGGACTCCGCGGTCTCTCGATCGAGCCGACCGTTCGATTTGATGACGGCGGAATTGTTCTCCAGCCGCTGCACCACGAACAGCCCAGCCTCGTTCCCGTACACGATCTCGTAGTCGATCATCCCGTTCTCGCCGATGTCCTCGTCGATCGCCTCGATCACACCGACCTTCGTGCCCAGCGGTGACTCCTCCAGCACGCTTAGCTCGATCGGAGGACTGTCCAGGTTGCGTTTAAAGTGCGGCTTGTGGTCATCGATGTCGTTCACGATCACCTGCAGCACCCTGGTCGCTTGCTGGGGCGGATCGCCGAGATCCTGCGCTACCAGGATCAGCGTGTAGCTGTCCTTGATCTCGCGGTCGAGCAGCTTGCGCGTACTGATCAGTCCAGTCTCACCGTTGATCCTGAAGGCGCTCGCGTCTTTGCCGAAATTACCGTCCTCCAGGAAGCGGAAGGTGATCCTGCCGTTCGGCAGGTTCGGGTCGTCCGGGTCGGACGCCACCACTTGGAACACCGGACTGCCGACGGAGGAATTCTCGGAGATGTAGGCCACCTCCTCCAACGTCGGTCGGATGAACAGAGGCACGCCGTCGTTGCTCACCACGTCGCCGATGTACAGGGTGAGATCCACGTCTGAGAACAACACCGGCTCGCCGTTGTCCTCCGCCCGCACCCGCATGTTGTAGGGCTCGGTTCTTCCTTTGCCCGTCAACGCTCGCGCCGAATAAATCTCACCGGTCGTGTGGTTTATCTTGAACAGCCCTGAAAGGGGAACAACGGCGGTCAATCATACTATGAACATTTTGAATTACTTCGCGGAATACGGGGCGTTTTGTGGGTCTTGAACATAGCATAATCACCGAAGCAATCGAAATGATTGCTTTGTAATTTTTCGTAAAAATTATTCATATTTATAACGATGATTTATATCTTTAATTGGATTTATATATTTTAATTGAATACAACTGAATCAATATCTTCTTTCTCTTGCATTGCATTTTTCTTTTCGAAAACCTGACAGCTTTGGTAGAAATAGGTCGTCATACTTCGATAGTTCTACTGTAATTAATTTAAACTTTTTTTGTACTTATACTTTTTTGTAAGAAATAAAGACCTCGCCCTCGTTCGCAATTTACCATTGGCTTCACCCTCGTCGATGATTTCATAGTGGATTGCGCCGCCTTCGTCTTCGTCGGGGTCGATAGCGGTGATGTTCACCACGCTGATTCCCACAGGCGCGTTCTCAGGAATCACCGCCGTGTAGGATTCCTGCTCGAAGCTGGGCTCGTTGTCATTGACGTCGATGACGTCAACTGTCACCAAAACTCGACTGCTTCGTTGCTCGACCCCACCTTGCGGCATGTCCGAAGCCACGACGTAGAAACGCAGGACCGATTGCCTCTCTCTGTCGAGAGTCGTGTTCGCAGCGATCTGTGAAACATCCATTTCTTTAATTATTCCGGTAACTCGAGGACGTAAAGAACATTTAAGACATCTAAAATGTTAATCTTTCAGATATACTTAAAATTGTTATGCTGTTTCGTATTAATTTTTTTATCTTGAAGTTAAATTAGAATATTTTTAAAATTTCTAGGGTATATTTTAAACTTCGGTATTTTCTCCGAATATTGAGATATAAAATTTAAATAAGAATATTGGGAAATATTCATTTTACCTGAATGTTGCCCATTATTGGGTCCACCTCGAAGAGATTCGCGTTCTCGCCAGTCAGAGAGTATCGCACTTCGCCGTATCCTCGTTTGATCTCCTCTTCGGTGCTGGAGCTGTCCATATCGGTCGCCTTCACATTCAGCACAACCTTCGAGGACTTCGCCGACTCCAGCACGGAAATCTTGTAGTCCTTCTGATCGAAGATCGGACTGTTGTCATTGGTATCCTGAATCTCGACGATCACGTTGGCCTCCGACATCTTTCGCGTTATATCGTAGTCCCTGGCGAGCGCTCGCACTTTGAAGCGAATAAACTGAAAAAACGAAACAGCCCCGAATACCTCCAATATATTATAATAATAATACGACCATATTAATCGCAATATCAGAATCAGCATATCAGTAATAATTTCAGCGATAGTTTTAGTCACAGCAATTGTAGTATCAGAATCGTAATGTTATAATTCTATCAAAAATTGCAAAAAAATAATTTCGTTCCCTCCATTTTTCTCTCTCAGAATTTCTCTCGTCACACATCTCGCTACCTTCTCGTTCAGCGCTTCGTAATCCAGCCTCTTGCTCAGAACCACATTGCCGCTCTGAACGCCCACATTGACGTAGCCTTCGTCATCGTCCTCTCTCACCAGCTCGAACCTCTGAACCGGGTATCCCGTCATCGGCTCTTTCGCCGATAACATCAACAGCGTCGTGCCCAACGGCTGCTCCTCCGGCGCCGTAACCCTTATCGTCGGATTGTTCGCTGACCATCCGGGATTGGTGAATGTCGGGTTGTCGTCGCTGTAAGCTTGGACGTAGATCGTCACTTCTACCTTTGCTACTTGTTTCTCCTTGTCGACGACCGCATTCAAGTCCTGCACCTGCACCGTTAATATCACAACGGCGGCCACTTGATAATCCAACACCTGGTTCACGGATATTAAACCGCTGGTGGAATTGATACGGAAAGCGGTCTTGTAATCGTAAGACGTGGTGCTCTTCAGGGCCACGCCGGTCTTGTCGACGGCCCGTATCGGTTCCACGAGAGAATACTCGAGATTCGCGTCTGCGTCGGGATCGGTCGCTATCACCTTCAAAACGGGTTCACCTGCGAGTAAGAAGTCTCCTGTGATACTTTTCATCAAAAGTACTCGAACGAGTATTGAACAAAGAGGAAGCAAAACTTTCAAGGTAACACTTGTTAATTGAAATTACGTAATTTCACCAATGATTGATTTCAATTTTGTTCGTTGCTGGAAACCTACCGATAGCGGCACGTTCCGAAACGTAAACCTGATACGTGGATTCATCGAAGGTCGGTGGCTTATTATTCACGTCAATGATGTTCACTGTGACAGTAGTGGTGGCGGTTTCCTTGACGGGTGTGCCGGAATCAACGGCGTACACGATCACCTCGTACTTCTCACCGCCGGCCTCCAAATCCAGGCGAGCGTCAGGTGACACAGTTATGATACCCGAGCTATAAGTCAAAATCCCTATTAATTGTTGAAATATTAATCTTCATTTCGTCATATTTCCACTAGCAACTTTTAAAAGTAAAATTCGAAGAATTAAGAAAGATTGAACGCAGGTAAAAATTGTTTTCCATCAATTAATTTCTGACCACGCAAATTTCAATTATCGTGTTGTAGGCTCCCTGTAAGGTTTCTAGGCTAATTGATACACACCTGGAGTCAATGACGAAGTTATCCTTAGAACCGGACGCGATGTAATACTGCAACAAATTGTCCCTGCCGTCAGGATCATTGGCGACCACCCGAATGACTTCCGTTCCGGAAGCAGCGTTCTCCAAGAGCCTCGCCCGATAAGTATTGGGACCCGGCAAATTCGACTTGTAATTTCCCCGGAAGATGGGCTTCTGATTGCCCGGCACTCCAACGCGAACGAGGACTTTCGCCTCGGAATATAATGGCAGTGTGCCAGTGTCCGTTGCACGAATCACCAATTCGTAAATGCCTCTCTCAGTGTCGCCGGAGCGAACCGGCTTCGACATGATTACCTCGCCCGAGTCCGGATTGACCTGCGGAGTTTATTAAATTATTTTAATTGTATATCAACACATCCTTAATAATTGTTTATTTTCTTGATCTACGGAGATAAAAACAAGCATCCAAGGTATATTATAAGTATTTATAATGCAATATACATTCTCATTTAATTTAAATTTAAATTAGAGTGTATTTAATTTTTATTTATTTATTTGATTTTGTTTAAGTTAAATTTTATTTAAATTCAAATTAAATGAAATGTGAAATTAAAAAATTGCAATTATAATTTATATTAATATCATATTTCATTTTCACCAGATCGAGTAATATTCAGCTTCGCTAACGAACCGTCAGTCAGAAAGACAAATGTGAGGACACCTCGGTTACGAACCTTAAAGACGTCGTCCGTCATGCTGTTGTGTCTGCTGATCGAGTACACGACTCTTCCATTTCCCTGAGTCGGCCCATCAACATCAGTCGCCCTAACGAACAATTGAGGATCGAAACTGGTGGCACCTTCGCGAATGGTCCTGGAATATTCCGCCTGCTCGAACACCGGCTGGTTGTCGTTGACGTCGTCCAGTTCGATAAGGATATTAACGGCGGACACTCGACCGCCGCCGTCTTTTGCTTCCATCGTCAAAGAGTAGGACTTCTGCGTTTCATAGTCCAGCTTCTTCGCTACGGATATGCCACCCAACTCCGGATCGGTGCCGAATTTGTCCGCGCCGAAACCACGCAGCATGTACGTCAACTTGCCGAAGGAGCCGCTGTCGTAGTCCCTGGCGTAAACGTCGCCGAAACGAGTGCCAGGTTCTGCGTCCTCCGAGACTGACAGTTTGTACACCGACTGCGAGAATTCGGGGCTGTGGTCGTTGGCGTCCATCAAGTGGATGTGCACTTTGGAGACCGCCACCTGCAACATGGAGAATGCACGAATAGAATTTTATAATAAATATCACGATATAGAATTTTGCTAACGAGCGAGATATCGACATATTTCGCCTTAATTTATTATCCTTCCATTTTATATATACTATTTACATTTGAAAAAGTTATAATATTTTTTTCGTGTGTACATCTCAGGAAGATTTCTAATTTTTAAAAATTGATTATCTCGTTAAGTAGATTAAGTATAATTAATTGAGAGATGTTAAGAAACTTTGTCAAGCTGACCACTTTGCTCGCCACAGTGGCAGCGACCTCGAACTCAAGCTCCCTCTTTACGGGATCGTCCACGTCGTAGTCGAGAACGTTGACGTCCTTCGCCTTGATCACAACCGGCACTCGACCCTGAGCCTCTTCGGGGCTGACGGTGAATGCCTTGCTAATTCCAGGATACCGCGGCACATCTCGCAACGTCAGGAAATACTTGGCATTGTCGCCCACGTCACCGTCGCTCACGATCATATTCAGACCTGCTTAATCATGATGTCGTCAGTCGGAAGAATTTCTTTGAATTGTAGAAGAAGAGACGCGGACAATGGTATGAAGGTAGAGAAGGTAGAGAATAGCGAATGCTATTTCTGCCAAGGTCTCAACCTTCCAAACGATTGTTAAAGAAGCAACAGATTTAAATAACAAAAGTGAATTTAGCCATCAAAAATAAACTAAATTTCCAACTATAAAATTAGATGAGAGGGAGTTCAAACGTTAACTTAGAAAAATTGAAGCAAATACAGGGTGAGTCAATAACTATTATCAACCTGAACATACTTTCGAAATATGAGAGTTGAAGGGAAATTTTCTGAAGAAAAATTGCGTTGATGTCAGAAAAATATTTTTTATATAAGAATAATTAAAAAAGTTATATTTATAAGATTACAGGTAATCAGACTGGCACGACTAATCGGCTGAACGACCTGGTAACGGAGTGTCCTTTCCGATGTCCTCGGAGATCCTGATGTTGAAATAATCCTCGTTGAAGACGGGCACGAGGTCGTCCACGTCCGTGACGACGATCGTCACTACGGACGTGGAGCTGTCGGCCGGAATCTCGTCATTGATCAGTTCGGTGGCTCTGACCTGGAAGTTGTAAATGCCGCCGTTCTGCAGGATCTTGGGATCCTCACGATCCAAGGACACGTTGGTCGTGACCAGCCGGCCGACCGTAACGTCACCGTCGCGGGACACCACGAGGTCGAAGTGGCCCGCATCCTCGTCCTCCAACGTCAGCAAGAGATTCCTCGGCTCGCCGGTGTCGCCGTCGCGCGCTCGCACCATCAGGACCGTGTGACTAGCTGCGGTGTTCTCCGGAAGCGCCGCGCTGTAGGGCGCGTTCAGAAAAACGGGTGGCTGATCCTGCGCGACGAAGCAGGACGTGACACAGGTAATCAAATCACCCGGGACACGTTGCATTAGAGCGATCGCGGATCTTGAAAACGTGACTCGCCCTAAACGTTCGCGCTGACAGGCAATGATTGAATAACCGAGGACGATTCCCCGCCAATTTCCTCGCAAACTACGTTATTATTCAATATGAGGCCACCGTCGGCTGTAACATGCGGGTCGCTTGAGCGAGGTTCGAGACCTATGTATTTACCTGAACATCGAGGACGTCGACAGCGACGGTTGCTCTGGCCTGCAGCCGCTTCAGCGGGTCGCTGGCTCCGTCGACGGCCAGCAGATTGATCAAGTACGAATTTCTTCTCTCGTAATCTAACGGCTTTGCCAACGTGATCTGCACGTCGTATCGTCCCTCGGCCAGCTGCAATCATCGCAACGATATCATTACTTAATTCCATTTCTTCGAAATAAAAAGGAACACCTTATTGCATATTACATTAGCGGTCAGACTGCAAATGAATATAGTTTCGAAGACTCAGAAAAAAATACGGATTTTTTCGGTTTCTTTCCGAGCAAAAATTGAAAGAAGCAATATTTTTTTAATTATGCAAACGAAACGAAGTCGTGGTGCGATAATGAGGAGACCAAAAGTCCCTTGAAAAATTAGCGATACACTATAGTGTTATAAACATAGAAACTTTTGCTCGTCCAGACGTTTTGATTTCATTATAATAATAACAGGTACGAAAGTTGAAAGATATAACGCAATATTGTTACAACATAAGCTTAGTCTCGCAAACGCAAAGTCATGTGTATAAAAGCGGTTTCGATGTAAGTCAATAATAACGGGTTTTGCTCTCCTTATTATCGCACTGTAACTTCCGTGCGTCGGCTGTTGTTGAACATTACTTGGATTTATTTTTATGAATTTCTTCAGAGCCATTTAACTTGTTTTCGAAACACCGATGACGAAATTACGGTCTACGTGGACGAATGTGGACGAATTAATTACCTTTTCTGTGGAAATATCAAAGACCTCGCAGACGTCGTCGTCGCGCGACGCCGCGACACATTGCACGTGCACGTCGGCATTCACACCGCCATCCCGATCGGTGATCGTGATCGTGCTCGAAGGAAGCAGCAAGCCGCCAACGTCGGCGCTCTCCGGCACCCTGGCCGCGTACGGTCGGCCATGGTACACCGGCGGATTGTCGTTCTCGTCGAGCACCGCTATCTCACGACGAAGAGACACCGTGTTGGGCTCCGATCCGGCGATACCTTCGTCTGAAAAGAGTGAATTCGTCCTCAACGAATTTAACTCGTGTATCTAATTGATGTTAGACATGTCACAATCGCATAATTAAAAATTCACAGTAAATCTGATTTTTATCGAGATTTCCTTCAAGTCCGCGTCACGAATTGTTTAAAATCTAAATTAAATACAAGTCGTACGTACATCAAATGCATGTGATGAGAGTTAAATGACAGTGTATAAATTAAACTAAACATGCGTAGGTTGAAGACACTTGTATAAATTTTACCCGTTATGCTAATGATGACTTCGATAAGGTCCTGCGTTTCCCTATCCAGGGCTCTCCTCAGGATCACGACACCGGTCTCCCGGTTCACGGTGAAGTACTCGCCGCTGATAGAATAGTGCAGTCTAGATCCTTCGGGGTCTTCTCCCTGAAGAGTGTAAACAGGAACGCCAGGTGGTGTGCCCTCCGACACGGCCAATCTGGCCATGTCCCCGCCTTGAATGAAGTGGGGCGCCCTGTTGATCACCTGACCCCATGACGAAGACCACGTGGAGACCAATAGTAATAGAATCGTCCACATCGTCACCTGCGGTAGAGACTCGCACTTAATCGAATAGTTGGTAATTGTAGAATAGCAAGTGAATCATTGAAGATTGCAATTAGAGCAACGGTTGTAAATAGCGGATGGCTCTTCCCGCAGGCCGCACTGTATTGATTTTTATGTAACTGTAAATGTAATAACGTCGAACCGAGAGACTTAGTTTATTTATGTAGATGTAGGAACAATGAATCATCGTTGTTATGCACGGTAGGTGTTAAGTTGGTGGCAGTAAATGTTAAATGGAATTGAACATTTTGAGTAAAGATGAGCTTAAAGTGAGAGATCTCGGTACGTCACATACGTGTGACGCTGGTAGCGAACGTGTTGAGTCGCGATCCATCGGAGGCCGTACATCCGCTATCAAAGAACGTCTACTATCGAGAGCCTCGCTATGAAACTGTTAATGGACGGAGCGGAGTTCGTTGAACTATTACTCGAAAAGCAACAGCCGGCGCATAGACGAGCGTGATAGGAAATGGCGATCGCGTGAGTAGGATACAACGAGGCCCGAAGTCGCTCCGGCCTCTGTTCAAACGCGACTATCTACCGCCTATCGCCTTCCTTTTAGTCACTCCGCGCGAGAGAAGTACGGCGTCCCGTGGAACCGCGACCGGTACTCCGCAGCCTGGGCAACTGACCGGCCAGCCGTCAGAATGCGTTTTCCGCCGCGAGTGAAACGCCGTTAGAAATCGGATTCCATTTCTGGCTAGTTCGTTCGCGAGATGCCGATCTATATAAGAGAACGACGGCTCGACGACGTGACCAAATCGAATCGCACCGATCACGCCGCTGGAAACGCCGGAAAAGCGATGGCGTTCTCATCTCATAATGCATCCGGCATAAGACATTACCGAAGGGAGGACGTGGAAATACAAAGAGCTGGAAAGAAATTAATTCCACGCCGTGTTTTATGAGGGAAAACGGCCTACATTATAATTGTCACACAGCGACAGTTAGTTGCTTTGATTAAGCAAATTTATATTTAAAGGAAAAGTCGCACTTTCCACGTTTCTACGAAATTATGCGCGAAACTATGCCTCGTAGGAAAGAAGTCCCCCGAATTTGAGAAGAAATGCTTATTAGAATGTTGTATCTTTAATTTGTATCTTTAATAAAAATACGAATAAAAAATGAAAATATGTTCGAATCTTTAATAGAAATATTCAAACAACAGCGAACAGCTTTGAAAATTTTATTTTTGATGACTTAGCTTTCTTTTCTTAATCATAACTAAAGATATTCAAACGACGGCAGACCAGCGGAAGAAACCCGCTGATTCCCCGGAGATGACATTGATGTAACGAGAGCGCAACGCGAGCGTGACCGTTCCTCTTAATTAACGTTCCCACGCAGCATCCTCGGCGAGTCGGTTTTATCGTTAATATCTCTCGGGGAGATAAGACGATCCGGCGTAACCGGCGCCAGGAAGCTCTCGACGTCGTCGAGAGCAACAATGACATGGCGTGGGGTAATGGCCCTGCATTTCCTCGACGCCTTCGTGCGTGCAGAGCGACCTCGACTTCCGCGTTCCCCGCCGGCCGCGGATCAGGGAGGATTGTCCTCGGCTGAAATGTAATTATCAATCGAGCGAAGGAAGGAAATTTACGGTCACTGATACGGCCGGATCTCCTTCTTCTTCGCTCATGTGCCAAGAGCAGTTGGCGAACGCGAAGAAGTCTCATTATACCGGCCGGGAGGAAGCGCGTGTTACGCGCGATGCAGAATGCAATCTCCTGCAGCGAGAATACGACACGCGAACGAGCGCGCACGAGTGAGCGCATAATAGCGCATGTGGCACAGCGCTCCGAAAGGATATGCGAAGACGGTGCTGATGATTGCGGGCACGTGTCTGTTTCGTTGCTGCCTCCGCGCGAGTCCTCTTCGTGTTCTCACTGGAGGCTCTTGCGGATGTTGATCCAGATGGTAGATTCGGATAACAATCGCTAGATACGTGCCGATTAGGCTGGGAAGCTTCCGTATTTGAAATATATTTCCTTCCGGCTGCGTCAGCTATAATTTGAGTCACTCGTTGAATCGCGTAATAACGTCGGCCGAGGTGCACGTCTCGAGCAGAGGTGTAACTGAATTGAAGTTTTTTAGCTCGTTATTAGCTCGTCACCGGCTCTGATTATTCGCCGCAATGTAGACTCGGTTTCGCGAGCATCCGTTGCCTAGCCATTCAATGTGAAATATGATGGAGTAAATAGCATTGTCTGTTTTGAAATATACACACTACGTGCGAAAATTAAAGCATCGCCTTCCGGAAAATAGGCAAACTTCGAGGGAGTGTAACTTGCTTAAAATAATGATATTTAGAATGTTTCGAAATTAATTCTATAGCTTGAAATGTTAACTTTTTAGACTGATTTTAAATGTACTTATTTGCTATGGATCTGCAGAGACGCAAATCCGTCGAAAAGACAAGATTTTTCAAAGTCTGGAAATATTTTTATTAAATTTATCTCGCAAAAATCCGAAAAAGGCAAAAATGGGCTTAGTTAGTACAATTTCTTATCTCATGGCAGTTTCTTTCGTCTATCATCAGAGCTAACTTATTTTCATAGCTAAGAGAAGTGAGCGTTATATTACTGGCTAGTAACGTTAGGCAGAAATTCACTACCTTCTAGCAAGACAGTCACAGAGATTTTACGCGAGATTGCGGTCTCTCCTCGTCATCTCACGATGAAAGTGGAAACCTCCAGTTACAGTCTCCCAAAAACGGCATTCCTCCGCGTAGGGCAATTATCCTTAATTGTCGAACGTGGCACGAGACAGCTCACGCAGATTTGAAGACGGTCGCCGTTCGGTCCGTGATTGGACGCGATTTTGCAATCGCGACTCTTACTCTTCGCACAGACCGTAGAATGGTGTGTGACAGTTAATCGGATCACGTTATCCCGGAGCCGACGACTCGCGGTCCCTCCCGTTCTTCCGTGCTACTCAAAGTAACGCGGAAAATCGTGCGGGGCGCGGAAACCGTGACGCGACGCGCGTTGTGCCGCGAGCACGATGCTCCCCGCACGGATTACGACACGTAGAGAACCTTAAACAGTAGCGACCGTTACTGCCAGCCAAGTATAAAATGATACCGCGAGATTGGATGATGGCACCGACCGCGGCTTGTATGCGAACGAGCGAGCGAGCGAGCGAGCGAGAAAACAAAGAAACGCGGCTCGGTGTAACGCGGAGTGTTTGGAAACGAATCCTTGCGAAAGATCGGCGCGATTGCGCAACGCAACGCGCCGATTGTGTTGCTCTACATCTAATTACTGCTGCTTACGTGAACGATCGCCATAAATCTTCGCGACAGATCAATTTGTCGTAACGGGATCTTCTAACGGATTTACTGTATGCATGCACGCTCGCGTGTCCGTTGAATGCACAAATCACTGAGAACGTGAAGAGATTTAATTCTCGCGACGTGACTATATTATTTTTAAATAAAATTGTTTAAAAAAAAATTATTTTTAAGGAATAGCATCCTTTCACGAAAAACGGTGGATTAATCCTTAAACCGGAACATCCGCTTATCAGGCGGATACAGTTTTACAATTTATTTTTTTTTATTACACCGGGGTATGCATAGAAATTTAAATATATATACCTAACATCTGTAATTTGATTTTTATCTTATTACCATATTTTTTTTTACTTTTATAATTTGATTCTAATCTCTCTCTCTCTCTCTCTCTCTTTCTCTGAATAGTCCTGTAATTATTATTCTTGAATTTCTTCTTATATTGCATGACTCTCCGCGATTCGCAGGAGTGCATTTAATTCATCAGGTATCCCAATTCTCACGTCGGGATGACTGAATAACTGGAATTAATCGAGTCTATGTAGGCGATGACATTCGAATTCGTCGGACCTACTCTAGAAACAACTCCAAGACCGCCGAATCGAGAGAAGGGGGAACGGAGAGGAAAGATTATAAGTAGGACAGATAAGTTGAAAGACCGAGAGAGAGAAAGAGAGAGAGAGAGAGAGAGAGAGACGGGATGACTGAGAGGCCAAGGGGGGAAGGAGAGAGGGAGAAAGAAAAAAGCCGTTACATCCCTCTTCCTCCGGCCGCCGTTACGTTACGCTCTTGGAATCCTGACACTGCGTGACCAAGTGATGCCAGGATGAATGACGAAGAAAAGGAATATCCTGCTGTGCGCGTATCTTCTTGCGGCTCTTCACTTTCATCAGCAAGCCCCGCGGAAAAGGACACCAGTTGCAAGATGAACGAATCTTCAACAAGCCGACACGCTTCCTCATCTCTGCGAATTTTCATCCAACGGGATCTTTCACGGGGAATTGACGGTTCGAGAGAAGTGGCGCCGGGAAGAGAGAACGATCGAGGTTACCTCTATACATCTTCTTCGGCTCGGTGATTTACACGTGACTCGCGACTGCAATGTCTCGTGCGAACAAAATCACAAATTGCAGCTGGAGACGTTATCTTGAATGTCATTTTGTCAACGTTACGGAGAGAAAAAGAGAGAAAGAGAAGGAACTAATCCATATCAGGAAATAATATTGCTTCCGCATCACTGCACAGTTTGCAACTTGCTCGCGAAACCGAAACCTCCGTTTTATAGTTTTGAAAGCTTGGAAAAAATCCGGTTTCTCCGTTTTTCCGCGGGTTTCTTCGGTTTCTTTCCCACACAGAGAAAAAGGTTTCTTTAAATTTAGTACACGTATTTGTTTGACTTGAGTTTTTTAATATAAACAACTATAATTTAACGTCAAATATCATTTTGTTCGAATAAAAATGTTGTCGTTGCACTATAATAAATGTTGTTTGATAGAAAAACAGTTTTATTATTTTGAAGAAATAATATTTCGTTTTTAATAAAACAAAAATTTATTTCATCATATATTAAATATTATTGCATTGAAACAAAAAATTATTTAATATTTTTCTAACGTGGTGTTTCTTCTTTCAAATGATTTATCATTTGTGACAACCAATGTTTAAATGAAAAGACAGAAGAAATATGACGTAAGATTGATGACGTATTTGACGTAAAGATATTTATATTATTTAGAAACCAAACAATCCTGTTTGTTGAAACAAACATTTATTTGTTTGCTTTATTAAAAGACAAATTTGAGTTAAAGAAATTTTATTAATTCCAAAGAAATCTTTTTCTCTATGTGAGAGAGTAGAAAAATTCGTTTAGAATTCACGTGTGTTCAATTAAAACCTGTAACGTTTATTTTTTCCCGTAAAGAAAGTAATTGCGCGCACTTAACTGAAATTAAATAATGTTAAATTTAACTTCAGCTGCGTACATACTATTATCTTCGCTACGTAAAAAATTAAATGCGGCAGGTTTTAACTGCACGCACGTGAATTTTTCTAAACTAATTTATCTATCCGTTGAGGAGAAAACAGAAAAAATTCGCGGGGAAATGGAAAAAACCAGTTTTTTTAGGCTATACTTCGTTCACTCCTTTTGCAGCGACTTGATTATCTGCGGAATTAGCGGTGTCCCCTTAATCGACGAAAATCGCGCGGATCGAAGTCGTGGTCGAAGAAGCGCCGTCGAAAAATCGACACCCACGCGGCTTTTCCCGCTTGGCGAACTTGACACCGGTCCCTCGCAACCAGGACTTCGCCGACTCGCAAATCTGCCGGTCAAAACTGGTTTCTTCTGGCGGAATGGCGAAAAAGACAACGGGGGCTCGGCCGGACTCGTGTTACTGCGCCGGGCTTATCGATGCACCGACAATTCGTCGGAATTTTCGGAGGTTCGTTCGTCAGGCTTCGGAAATTTGAAAGAAACGTCAGACAACGCGACTGTACATAAGGACACGTGGACAGTCGATAGCTTATGACGCATTCCGCTCGGAGAAATCACGTCGAGATGTTGGCATGCTCAGACGTTGTTCGTATAATTGCCGCTTTGTGTTAAACTTGCGATTTTATTACGACTCTTAGGTATCATGAAAGCCGGACGGCTCCGACTGGTTCTAATGTCGTCGCCGTGTCACCGTTCCACGGGTACGGGACAAAAGGAGAAGCACGGTGATACCGTTGCGCCAGGAAATCCTCGAGGAGACGATACCCTCAATCGACGACCTCGATTCCTCGATTAGCGCGCGCCCTCGAATCTAGAATCCGATCCTGCTCCTCTTCTCTTCGCTACGCGATTCCCTCAAACGTATGAACAAACTTTAGACACTCATCGAGTGTTCCCCAACGGTCGAATCGAAATTAGTAATGCATCGTCACTAATCACGCGGAATCACCGATTAACAAATCTGATCGAAATGATAGATGTCGCGGATTACTTTCAAAAGATGAGACATTCCCACTGAAGCTGTAAATATGATTCCAACAATTCGGAGCAATGAAGACAACCAAGAGTCCCCCGACGTTTCCATGAAGATTTTTCGAAATTGGCTGATCAACAACAACTGAAGCGAGGACTCGAAACCAGGTCAACTCAGCTCAACGGTTGTTCAGGGTGAACCAACGAAGTAAGAGTCCGGATTGCAAAATTGCGCGAGCTATCTCGTTCCACATTCGGCAATTAAGGGTAATTGCCTTACGCGGAGGAATGCCGGTTTTTGGAGGACTGCGGGCTTCCACTTTCATCGTAAGACGACGAGGAGAGACCGGAGTCTCGAGAATGGAAGCCCGCGTCTTGCAACCCTCCGCGTGAACATTCGACGTTATCCGAAACACCTGGCCCGCGACGAACCGGAACAGACCGGTCACAATCGGACCCGTCTAACAAAGAACAAACTCGGGATTGCGTCGAACGGCTCTCTCCAAGCGACTGGCGAGTATCCAGGTCAACGTTTTCGGTAATTATCGTCTCCATCCGGCCGATGACCGGTGCGCCAGGATCCTGCCTCAACAGTTCCCGCACGTGAACTCACCTTCCGAAGAGTCACTGCGAGATCCCGCGCTGGCAAGCACGACGAGCGTTATCACCTCATCGTGTCACGACACTGCACGTGCTAGATTCCCGCGCCACCGCGCGTATTTCACTCGGACGGGCACGCGAAACCGAAGCGTAGAATCCGCATGACGCACCTGCGGACAGGTAACAACCGAAGGGACGGCGGAGAGGCGAGAGAACCGAGAAGGACCACCGTGTGTTCTTACTATCCTCGCGGTCTCATCGGCGTCCGTCGCGTTTCGGACCGAAAAGAAGCAACCGGTGTCTGCCAGCCAATGGACAGGTCTACACTGCATCCTAAGGAGGTATGCGGCCTCCGCCACGGGAGTGGAAGGTATGGAGAGAGAGAGAGAACCAGCGCGCCTCGGAGTAAGGAGAGCCTATAGTCCGTGCCGGTTAAAGCCCCACCGATCACTACGACCCGAGGGGCGAGCCTTTTTTCTCGCGTTGCCGTTCTCTCTTTCTTTCTCTCTCGCGCTGTCTCTCGGGGCGCTGGGCGAACCTGGAGATCTGCACGACCTGACCTTCGGCCGCCAGCCCGGAGGGTCGGCAACTCGGTCTCGAAGGGACTACGTAACTCGCGCAGATGATTCGCGCTTCAATCAGGATTGCGATCAGCACTGAGAGAAAAAGAGAACGAGAGAGAGTGAGAAGGGGGGTGGGGGGATATTTTAGTCCTACACTTAGGGAAAAATATTTAAAAAAATATATTTATTCTGTGGATATTAATCACATGTTTATCTAAATTTAATTTTTTTTATTTAAATATAAGACAATTTCCTTCACACGAATTTCCAAATTAAAAGGAAATGTAATTTCCTTATTTTAAGAAAATTCCTCGGCGTAAAAATGTATATATTAGTATAAGTAAATATGTTATTAATATGCACCGAATAAATGATTTTGTATTTTTTAAAATTATTTTTCCTCAGTGTAAGGTATCTCCTTTATAAAGACAAAATTTGTAAGTACATGATGAAAACTTTAGACGACGAGAGCGATGACAGTAACTTATAACCGGAGAATAATACAAGAAGAACGAAGTGAAAGAAAATAAAGCTAAGAGACGAAGAAAGAGAGAGATTACGTCACCGATTTTCCTGACATTTCATTCGCGCCGGAATCGATCGCACGAAGACGTTGTGACCTTTCGACGTAGACTCTCTAATCGATCCTCCGGGTAAATCCGGCGAGGAAAACTCGGCTTCGTGAAGCGAGTTGATCGACGTCGCAACCGATCGCGCCTTCCATCTCGCGTAAGTTACGATGAATTGAGACGCACTTTAATAATTACACTTTTAAGAGAAAACTTTGCGGGAGAAAGCAACGTTTTTTCTTCTTTTCATCCAATGAAACGTCCACTTTCATGAAAATGATACAATTATCTCATTCAGAAACCCCTTTATAGTCCAGAGCCGTAAGTACCGCTTCATGTTTAATCACCAATCGACGGATCATTACCGCTGGAAACTGAGGCTGTTAAAAATAATGCAGCGTTATTACAGTGTTTAACTTGTCTAAACATATCGATATATTACACAATGTATCCAACATAAAATATTTCACTTCTCTTCGCTATTCGTGAGCAACCGCAAAAAGGAACATAAATTTCCCGCCAGTAATTGAGCAGTAATTTAACAGGCTCCTTCGATCTGACGTAAAATAAAAATAAATATTACATCAGTTTTCAATGTTTAAAACCGCAGAAGTGAATGATCAATCGAAAGAGAATAAAGGCACGATCTTCTGATATCGACTCGGTCGTCATGTCAGTCGTCTAGTATACACCGCTCCTGAAAAGTTGCGTCTCAATGCGACGCGTTCGAGCCAATCCCTCCGCGAGAGATTCTCGTTCTCGTCCATCCCGTCAGGAGATGGTTCAAAAGGTCCCTCTCTCCCGCAGTAAGGCGAACGTTTACCGTGTGCAGGCTATAAAAGAGCAATGCTAAAATGCCGAAGGCTCGGCGCGTCCCTCTCTCTTACTCCTTCTCTCTTTCTCTCTCTCTTTCATCATTCTCTCACCGGTTCTTCCCTTCCTTCTCCCTCCTCCGCACGGTGGGGATAAAAAGGACGCGGAAAAGGGGTATCCGTGAATCGCGGCGCGATCGGGGAATAAGGACGACGGGAGAGTAACCGAGAGAAAGGCAGAAAATCAAGCGGGTAAGAGGAGGAGGCCAGGTAAACGGAGGAGAAGGAGAAGGAGGAGAAGGAAAGGTGCTAGAGCGCGCGGCGAAGGGGACTTGTACAGTTAGCAAAGGCCGCAGCGAGCGACTCCACCTTCGAAGATAGAATATCGGCCGGCCGCTGGCTGCTCGGACGGAAATTGTTTTCACTTGGACGCCGATCGAGATCTATTCGCGAGACCTGGCCGGTGATCGAAGCTGCCGGACCGGACTTTGGATCTCTAGTCGCGCGTGCTTCAGCTTCCTCGTCAACGCTGGTGGTGTCGAAATCGTGGCGCAGCAAGGCGAAAGGAACCCATACTACTCGACGGTCTCCGATCCACAGAATCGATGCAATCTCAATTTGAATTGCGCGACGGGTCCTTGATTAATGAGCAACGCGACCAGTTAGCGATAATTAAAATTGAAACTCCGGGCATTGTATGATAATTTTTACGACCGCAAATAACAGCGAATTTAAGTGAAATCAGCCGCTGACCATCGCAGTATATGTCGACACACCCGTCTCGATGAATAATTAATTCACCATTAATATTTAATCCTGAATTATCATATATATGAACGTAGAATTTCATTCCTGAAAGCGTGTAAAAATGTTTACCTTTTCTCCGTGTAGATCTATCTTTTCTTGTACCTGAAAATATCTATTTTCAAATTCACCTTTGGTATTGACATCGTTGATCGAATGATTGTATTGTCACGATTAATTCATCATTAAACATTTTTACATGCTTTGAGGAAAGGAATTTCATGTTCGTGTATACGATAATTCAAGATTCAATAACTACTGTAGCTTAATTTTTCGCCCGGGTCAATTTTACCCATGAACAACAAACCAGGATTCATATTAAGCTATACTGCATCCACGTGGTGCGTTATAATTTTCATTAATTGATAATTAGGTGTTAATTGCTGGTTGCAAAGGCACGAATCGACTGAAAGATTAATATACCTTCTCAGACGCGTATCTTCGTGATCAGAGTGGCGAGCCTTGCGTACGAAGCCACAAGACACGTAACGAATTACATGTGCGCGACGATAATGAGCTACAAACGATAGCGAGCTGCGAGAGGGGAAAAGAGAGGCGTGGGAGAGATCGCGTCGTGCGAGCGCGCGTGCAGGCATCATCGACGCAACTTCTGCGCCTTTCTCCCTCTCTGCGTTTCTGCAACTCGCGGGGACGACGTTTCGTTGCGTTGCCAACATGTCCTGTTACGAAGCATGGGAAAACTCCCGTGAACTACATGAGGCAGCAAGGGTGTTGTCGGTTAAATAACCCACTTCTCACGAGTACGCGCGCTCCGCTCGTACGCGAGCGAGACCTTTTGAGATCGGCCAGCGATTCTCCCCATCCGATTATTATCGCCCGCCGATTGCATAGAATCGCTATTTCGAGCTTGAGACGAGCCGCTCCCGGCGAGAAGGTGCTCTCGCAACGCCCCCCAGGAAAAACGGGAAAGTGACCCAGTGCGCGCTCGTTTTCACTCGGGCGAGCTCGCGTGAAGAATTGAAGCGTTTCTGACGTAAGGACGAAGTACATAATTCGCGAAGCAGTATAGTTTGAAGGAAAAGTCCGATTTTTCTCATTTCTTCATGGATTCTTCTCAGGTTTCCGTCTCAGGTGTAGAAAAATTAGTTTAGAAAAATTCACGTATATTCGGTTAAAACCAACCATAATTTTTTTTTTCGTAAAGAAGATAAGAAATCGAGAAAATCCGCGACAAAGTTTTTCGCGCTCGAGGGGAATTTTTTTTCTGAGCGCGGAATAGATATATCCGTTTATCTATTTTATTTTATCCATTTATTTCTCTCATTCGCGCATCTCGATATCACCCGAGAGCGATCGGAGAAAACTCGCAGTGACGTCGAGTTATCGATACGACCACTAATCGAGTAGTTCCGCGAAGAATGCAGATCCCGGAAGTACTTTCGAATGGAACATTCGCGCGATCCACGCACATAACAGCTTTCTGTTTATTTATGAGGTATCATGATGGGCTGTTATGAATCCGATCGTTAACTTACCTCGCATCATCGCAGCATCATGCGTATGCTAATCGTTTGATAGCGGGGTAATCGATGAGATGTTACAACCGGGTATCATCACCGATTGCACCGTCATACCGTTGCGTTTGTACAACGTAAAATTAAAATTAGGAATGTGTCTATTCGACGAAATGTTTTGTTTAACGAAACGACGAGACGCTCAACTTGAATTTTCTCCCCGACGATATCTGGAGACGGGGGAGACAAAACGACTGGAAAGACCGAAGCGTAATTTCACGAGCGTAATTTTCTCCCAGCTTGCAGAAATATTTTACGGCTACCTGCGAAACCAGTTGGCAGGCAATTCCATTGATTGCCCTTCGCCGATAAATTATCCAATCAGAGCGAATCGCCTTTATCGGAGTTCGAACCCTTTTTACAGGCTTGACGTTCCCGTCCCGCGAACGAGCGAGCGATCTCGATGCGCGCCTACCTACACGCCCCTTTTTTATTTGATTTCCAATTCTACACGCCTGTGGGACAAATCTTTCGTGTAATTCCCAATATTTCTGCGACCCGATCGAACATGTGTCTGCAACGGCATCGATTTCACGGCGACCTTTTACCGCACGCTGCAAATTTTCAAAGTGTGAAAAGGGTTGGGGGGTTTCTCGCTGGCGAAGGGTGAGCGAAAAGGCATCGCCAAAAAGAGACGTGCATTTTAGAACTGTTCATAAATATGAAACGTCATTCTCGGCGTATTTCAAGCGGTTTGTTGTATTTTTTCCAGATACATGAAAGTATCCTCGCTCGATGATGCATTTTGTACGTAACAAATATATATACACAGAGAGAAAAGCGCTACATTCATGTAATATTTATTCAAT